ATATATATATATATATATATATATATATATTCATGTCCTACTTTCTGCACCTTTGTGCCTTAACTCCAAAGATAAATTTTCCATTGTCGGGTTTTATTGTTGTTAAATCGAGTATTGCGATATTCGGAAACAGAGAAACATTGCTGTTTTATTCCAATTGAAAAACCACGAGTGTGGAAAAGTGAAAAACGACAGATTTTGTCGTATCAGAAGGTTTTCAGTCCCATACAGAAATGCATGACGTAAAATATTTTAGAAATTTGTAGTTTATACGATTTTGTTTGAAAACAAAAATCCTTTTTCATCTGTATAAAAACAATTTTGATTTTATGTAACTGGCTATTTGTTTATTTTTTGTAGTTGCAGTATATCAGGGCATTGCTGCTAGTTCTGGGTGAAAGGGGGAATGTTTCTTAAGTAAAAACACTCCTTTCTAGGTCAAAAAGTGAAGCAGGTAGGATAATAATGCAAGTTATGTAGGTTAGTAGGCAAGCGAGTTGGAGAGTGATAGTGCGTGTGTGATGCGATAGACCGTAAACAAGCCCATTGAACCCACATGTTTTAGTGTGACGCCATCTACGGGCGTTTAAGATAGTTATGGCCCCACCATTACGAAGAAGTAATCAAACTTTTTCGATGACGAGGAACCCACTTTGAGACTAATAATGCTTGGAGATGGCTTGAATGGGTAACGAGAGAAACTTTAATATATGTTTTGTCATCACCTTGTCGAAACGTTGTATATTTGTTGTTATGTTAAACTTATATTAAAGGTTTTCTTCATTACCCATTCAAGCCGTCTCCAAGCATTATTTATCAAACTTTTGTTTAGATTTTCCATTTTTAATATTAATATACTACAAGTTATTCGAATTAAGCTTGTTTTCATCACGATTATTTATGTACTTGTGTTACGTATTTATAATTGCTTAGAAATTTACATAATTCTGTACATTTTTAGAAATAACATTAAATAGAAAATTGAAAAACAAAAATTCAATCTTGATTTACATCAAATTATAATAATGGTTTTAAGTATTTTATAAGACTAGTTTCTGATACTAATAAGATTTCTAGTCAAAACTTAAGATATTTAAAAAAACATTCTCATGATGTAATTATTGAATAATGTCACTTTGTTTTACTTGTGTAATGGTGTTTCAAGATATAATTCAAAATTGATTGTGTATTTGTATTTGCATATATGATAAATGTCAAAGTAAAGTTTATCAAAATTGAATTACTGTTTGGTATAGTTTTAGTACTTTTTTGTGACACTTGTGTAATAACAGAACTTCAACAGCTGAAAATATTAATTTATAATTATATTTCTAAACAGCATTCATTGGTAGCTGGTGTAATGAGACTAAAGAAAATGCACTGTCCCGACTCCTGATGTACCTTCCTCTCTTAGCACCTGGCAATATAGAGGCCAAGAACCAGTACCTCAATCTCATTCCCAGAATTCTTTCTCATTCCATTGAGAACAGTGTTCACATCGAAGAAAGTCGGCAGCTTCTGTCTTACTCCCTCATTCACCCAGCCATCTCTAGTGAAGACAGACGCACACTTACACAGTGGCTCCATCACCTGGAGGACCGAATGAACTCTTACAGTATATTCAATGGGCAGGTCAATGGGTCTTGTGATGCTGGGTCTGTTCTTAATGGCAGCGGAGTAGTAGAGGGTATTACAGGACGACCAATAGCCTGTAGCAGTCGTTTAGACCTGTGGCGTAGTGGTTCAGTCAGCTCTCGTGACTCTGGTATTAATGTTAATGGGAACTTTGCAGAAATGAATGGATACTTGGGTTTGAATTCTCTTGGAAGCAATAGCCTACCTCCAGGAATTGGAACCAATCATATAAACTTACATGCCATGAATTCAGCTCCCCCAAGTGGTGTGTCATCCATCCAGTCTCAAGGTAGAATATTGGTTTATCTATCTAATTTTTAGAATTGTTGAGAAAATATTTACAGAAATATTTGGTGATGAATGAGAACTATTAATATAATTTAAAGTATTTTTTTCACATTTCTAATTATGTATTTGCCCACTTTGTACTTGGGGTATTTCAAAATTAAGAATTATAAAAAAAAGAATAATTTCTTATTCCTATAGCATGGGGTCTTACCATCTGCTGGAAATCTTAATTCTCACATGTAGCTAAATTAAATTCACGTCATTAAACCTGCAACCTGAGTGAAATATCAGATCAGTGCTGATGTACCCGAGACCAGCCGATAGCAGGATTGGATTTTGACACTGTGAATCTGCATGTTCCACATGTCCAGGTGTCCCTAATGTATATGTACTAGTGGTTTGCGTTAAGCTTTAAAACTTGTCTTCAAATAAATGATGCACTTATCAGATTACAAAAAGGACACAAGTAGAATGTTGGCCCAAAGATCTTACGTCAACTGCAAAATGTTGTAAATCATGTCCACTTAGTATTTTTCATCAATATAAACACTATAACAAACTCCCTACAATGAAACATAGTAATAGTTATGAATATCAGAAATAAAGGCACTTTTTGAATGATGCTAAAATATTTTAAGGGAAATAAAACTATGTTAGAAATATGTTTATCTTTTAAAAAAAAATTAAGAAGCAGTTAATATATATATCAGGACATGACCTGAAATGATGGTCACCAATATTTCTTTTCACTTTTCCCTGACTGACCTCATCTTGGGATACATTTCACTCTCTCCATCGCGAAGGCAATTGAATGTATTGCACATTTTTATAGGTAAACAAACTTACCGATCTGATCTTCTTAAAAATTGGATCAGGAAAACATCGGGGAATTCTTTAGATCAGATCAATATCAGCGACTGCTATGGAGAACAGTCACAGACTTGCATGTCATGATATATAAGTGGTGGAATTTCAATTTGAATTGAAATTATTTTTTTTTTGTAAAAAGTATTCATTGAGTGTACTATTAACAGTATTTTTTTGGCTAGCTTAGAGTTACCCCAAATTGCTTACTAGTTTTTGATAGTATGGTATAAAGATATAACATATGGAATAGTCTTAATTCTGGAAAAAATTAATACAGATTCTAAAAGTGATAACATAACATATTAAAATTTCAGTTCTTGTATGAAAATAAAATAATCTTGAAGCAAGATATTCCATTTTCTATAAGTCATACACTACCTTGTTACAGAGAAGTTCAAACGATATCTAAAGTCCTATGTGATATAACTTAACTCCGTATTTTCTGGAAAGGTTTGCATACTAGAGCTGGGCGATTAGTGATATGTTCTAATTGATTATTGATAGCTTCATTAATCAGTTAGTGAAGTGTCCTTCCAACCTTGGTACACACAAACAAATAAAAAAACAACAGTTGATGGCAGGTGAAAGTTTTCTTCCTTCTAGTCAGTAGTTCATAAACAACAAAGAAACAGTTGGTGTCAGTTACTTCCAGCCAGTTGTCTTCCAACTAGTCAACAGTTAAACATTAGTGACAGTAACTTTGCCATAATAAAGACAGGTAGACCAAGTTTGGTGTATAGTTGGAATAATCAAAAATAGTAAAAATTGGAAACATTAATTTCAATTAGTTTAATATTTTTATGACAGTTGATATATACAGGGTTTAGATTAATAGAATGTTGGATTAATCAAAACACTAATTTCAGTTAGTCAAATTAATCATAATTTTGATTATTCAGTTAGTTTATATGACATTGATTGATTAGATTAAATTGTTACACATTAATGACAGTAGACTTCTCAGATTTCTGTATTGGGAAAAGATTAAATAAGCCCGTTTTCTTTCACATTTGCTCTGTATTTCTAGATCATAACCCTCAGTTAAAATAGTTTCTCAAAGTTACTGAAATGCCATTAGTTTTAAGTATACACTCAGGCTGCAGCACTTTTAACATGCTCTGTCTTTCTTCCAATAAACTTTTTTTTTTCATGGTTAAAAGTAAATTGAAAGATAAATTTTTTAAATATTTTTTATATTGGTTTTTCCCCAGTATGAATGATTAAGAAAATTCCACAAACATGTCTTCTGTAATGGAAAAGCTTTGTCATAATTTTTTTAGTAAACATTCTAACACATGGAAAATACTAAAAAATTTAGAACTCATGATAACAGTACTTTAATCCTACAGGTTGTCATAGACTAAATGTTGTCATTTGATTGGTTACTTTAATCCTACAGGTTGTCATAGACTAAATGTTGTCATTTGATTGATTATTTTTTGTTTGTCAAATCACTGCTGTCAGTATGATTTTATAGTTATTAATGTATTTGAACAGAAAATGTATAAGGAAATTTTCTCCATATTAGGCATATTTTTTAGAATATTGGTTATGATTTTAATATTTCAACCTAAAATATTTCTTTCTTAATCTTATACTATGTAGGTGACTTAAATTATCATAAACTTGTGTATTGATGTTCAAGACACAATCTTATATTTAATAAGAATACTTATTTGACACTGATGGCTGACTTGAGCAGCAATAACTGGATATGTTGATACATTAAAAGCCAAGTTCAAATAATATTAAATTTGAACCGATAGAGAAATCAGTGGTGCTTAGGGCCAACTTTTGTATTATGGGTGGTTAAGTTTAATTTCTTTAACAATACCACACCATATTTCACATGGTTTCAACATTATATATTTAGTCAATATGTTTGGTTAAGCACAGCATTAATTAATACACATGTTGGAACTGCACAATTGATATAAAATCATGAATTGGACATCATAATAAAATATTATTTCATTAATAATATCAAAGTAATGAAAATACATTTATATCTTAATAAAACATTGACATTCATTTTGTCAAGTTTACAGTGTAAAATTTATTTTAAAACAATTTACTGTAGTTTAGCCCCAAATTGAGTCAGTCATACTGAAATTGATGTTACTCCCCAAATGTTGTTTTGGTGGTGTTAACGAAAGTCTTCTCAAATTTCGGCTACTTTTGCTCAGGGTAATTTTGTTTTGTTCTTGATTTGCACTATAAGAATGGTTTTCAACATGTTCATGACATTAGGACACAATGCACACCTTCAAAAGAATATATCTCTGCAAGAAGTAAACCAATGGGCACAAGTATTATGTTGTTCAAAGGCTCTACTATATTATTTTTGAAAGGTAATTTTTTAGGCTTTTTATCATTTGTTGATATTAGGCTTATCAAAGCAGCCATTTGTTTCTGAAAAAACAAATCCCAATTTTTGGGTTAAATTATTTATTATAAGCTTGCAAAAAGAGTTTAGACCATAGACTTTTGTTTATCATTCTAGAGCCTGTTGTTTGAAATTGACTCTTGAAGATATATCAGGATCAAAAAGAATGTTTTATATACATACATTACAAAGATATTGTTATTATTTTTTATCAGTTTTGACCCCAAATTAACATAATGAATGTTAATGTATAATGAATGTCACAGCCAGTAAAATGGTTGTCTACTTAACTCTAATTTTGCTTTCCAAGTGTCATGTTTTACATTATATTTGAGGGGACAAAATATCCGGGTTTGCATTGCAATTTGTGAATCACTTTCCTCTTTGCTTAGTATAATGTATGAATCATTTCTTTCTCTTGTATGTTGTCTTCAAGACTTCCCCCAACACAGTGAAAGTGCCATAACATTTCAGTTCGATATATCAAAGCCAAAGCTGATGTTCATTTCTTGGAAATTCACACCAAACAGCACATACAGTATTTACAAACTTTGTCATGTGTATGTCGCATACACATACACTTTGTAGTAGTCTGTTCATGATGTTTGGAATGACCCTGCAGCCTAGCCAACTAGACTAGACTACCTATGTATAGTATATGCACTACACATTTAGCATTGTGCTGGTTACGAACTCTCAATACGAGGTTGTTCCCAAGGACCTACTAAGTTACATTTTTACCTGTATATAGTTTTAATATTATACCTTTCAATATAGTATGTGTATCGTCACAAAATTTGGCAGACCTTTAGTAAAACTTGCAAGTCGTTTGTACACAAAAAATCAGTTTTTCAATGGAGTATTTTTTACTAAAGATTTGTCTGTGAGTATATAGTCTTTTCTTTTTTTTACCAGTCTAAATGTAAAATGGTTTCCATATTAAGATTATAAATACTTTTCTTTATCTCAAATATCATTTTCATGATCTCTAAAACCTCCTAAATATGTTTCACACGTTTTATTTGAATAAAATTTGATTTTATCTGATATTTTCTCTGTGCTGACTCTATACAAGGTTACTAAATTGACCAACCTTGTAACCAGCAAAAAAAATCTAAATTATCCTTTTTTTTTCTAGAATGATTTCAAATTGTACCATGAAACTACATTTATCCTAAGTGGCTTTAAACTCGTAACAGTAAACATCTATTTATACTTAAATTTTATTGTTTTAATGCTCTTTTAACCATGTTTTAACTATTACTGCTAGTGCTATTTACATCATTATAATATAAATTGTAAATGTAAATCACTTGAGAAACATACAGCTCATGTTATGCTGTCGAATTACGTTACCCACAAGCTTGCCTCAATAAAAAATTGTTTATTATATTATTATTTATTTTATGTAATCTAACCTAAAGAGTTTCCTATTTTAGTTACTTTTATTATAATAAATAAAGAATACATATGAAAAAAAACAAGAAATAAAGTACCTACCTAGGCCTCTCGCTTCTTTTTTTTTTTTTCTGTCAACTGTCAATGACACTTGACCCTACTTTTTATACCAATGGTAGCAGTGCACTAAATAATTTGTATTTAATCAAATAATGCACCAAAGAACATAGAATAACATGCATGTAAAAAGTAGACAATGTCCCATAACTGTCACAATATTTCTGGCTTTCTAACTGTACGACAAGAGCCATTACAAATTCATTCAAGCTATTTGATGTGTTGACCATGGGAACAGAACGTGTACTGAAAGAAAAATTAACATTTTCTGTATGGAAAACAATGTACTATAATATGTCATTTTATAGATGAAAACTTTTCTTTTCATCTGGTTGAAAATGATATAGTATTAAGAGAAAACTATAGACAAATCCTGAAAGAGAAGATGTAACAGGTGGGTGTAGCAAGAGGAGTCTGATTTTCTATATGATGGCTCTGTAACCAAACAGAATTGAAGGCTATGAAAATTAAGCTTTATTTGAGCAATGACAAAATTATAATTGGTAATTTATGTTAAATTTCATACTTGTTGGAGGGGGGTGTTAAATACATTAGAGAAGAGGGGATGCTAGAGAAAAAATGTCACATTTCTCACCCTAGGGGAAGTTGGGATCTTTTTTTATAATATTGCCTTATAAAATAAAAGATTTAAAACTTGTATACAATTAAAATATGGATTATTAGCTATGATTTTATGCTATACTAATTGGTATACCATGAACAAAAAAAGTAGTCTAATTAAATTTAAATGTAACTCACGAAAATCCTCATGACATGCACAGTAAAGGATGCCCGTGGAGAGTGGGGTAATTACTGCTGAAAAGTCACTCGACATTTTTTTCTTCAAAAAGCCAAGAAGACCACATTGTGAAGAGTTATGAGGTCTCACCAATAAAAATAGAAATTAGATTAATTTGAAAAACGATTTGTAGCAACCTTGTTCAATTGCAATATCTTCAAGTCACTTCTTTCTCTGGTTAATCGATTGTTGCATTGTTTTGTGACAGTTGAGGTGTTTGATATTTTTGGCAGTTTTGAAGTTTTACTTTATATACCAGGAACTATTTTGTTCATGAACTGCCATGTATGGTACAATTAAATATTGGGGTTTGAAGCTTAATAAAAGTGTTATTAGAATAAAACATACCATTTACCTCTTTTTTATTAGTGGATGTCTTTACAAAGAGTTAAGACTTTTAGTGCTGAATTTAGTTGACATATTGTGTTAAAAAGATGCCAAGTAATATTTGCTAATTGCTAATCAAATTCAATATTAATTAACAGCTTCTGCTAATCAAATCTACCAAACTATTTTGTCCTTTGTATTTGTCCCTTATTTATAAACAAATTCTTATAATTATTTTCATCCATTTTTGAGAGGAAGATAAATTGACAGTAGTTTTTAGCTTTGAACTTGTCTAAATACATTTGAGGGGTCGGTGTTGCTCTAACAAAATTTCACATTATCTGTTGAAAGAAACTTGTATATTTGTTAGACCTTAATAATTTTCAGGTTAGTTGTTTAGGCTACTAGATAAGATTTATTGTAATACAACCAATATTTCCTGTCTGTTGGTTACATTTAAAAGTACAATTTGTCATTGTTCAGAGGTACTTTCATCCTCAGTAATTTTAATTAAACAGTTTTCTGTGTTGGTTGTATTCTTCTTGACTTATTTTTAGTTTTGATTAAATTATAGGTAGTGGACAGACCCTAGGTCCTTCTCATTCACGTATCCGCCGCAGCAACAGTCTCACACCCCCTAGCCCCACTCATCATTTGAGATATTCTGGCCTTCCTAATGGAACATCGCATGATTGGAACATCGATAAGGATATGAGACAGCAGTCTGCACCAACTAACAATTCTGAGAACTCGACACTCTCATCTAGAAACAGTGTAACATCTGGAAATGGTACTGAGATGCATGCAGAGAATAAAGAAGTCAGCGGGATGAAAGGTAAATTTAAAACTGATGATTTTTATACAACAATCATATAAAGCTGTGTTGAATACCAGACCTCACGAAAATATTTCATTTAATATTGTAATTAAGTCACATATATAAAGCACAAGAAAAACACTACTAACAGGTCATAACCTACATCTTTTCAGAATCTAGCATATTGTAAGATGTAATCCAAGTGAAAAGAAATTATTCAGCAGAGTTTCTGGACAATATTTAAAGAAATACCATTTATAAAAACAATGTATTATGATTTACAGATTTTCTTTACTACTGCTGTTATAGAAGTGCTTGTTTTTATTATATACAGTGTCTCACTTTCTCTTCATCTCACATCGTAGTTGGATGTTATCCAAGTTGTGTGTGTGTATCGGGTAGCACAATACCAGTAAATGTTTAGATCTTTCTATGGCTATGTTTAACCTTAACTTGAGTCACTTGCAATATAATTTATTTCTAAACACCTGCCATACACACACTATAATCAGAAACATCCCATTCAGTCCATAGTTATTTAAGAGTAATTTGTACACATTTCCAGACTGTTTTTTGGAGAACGATACCAATTCATAAGTAAGAAATATGCATGTTTAGTTAATAGATTTGTTTTCTAACAGAGATGATAATATAACTTTTATACTGGAAGAGTTTATATTTTGTGCTTTCACGTTTCATTAAACTTAAAACAAATGTTGTAATGTTTCTGTTGTTGGGTGGGTTCTTTTGGATTATTTTGTAAAAAGCAGAATGCAAAACTCAGTTCACTGTTTATTGACAAAATAATCTTTTTTCTGTATCTTGATAAGTAGTGGTGTACTGGGAGTTCTTCAGAAAGGCCTTGCAGTCATAGTGACAAAACTGTAGTGATAACAGGTGTAGGTCACATTGGTTTTCATATTACATATCACATAATTAATGTTATTTGAGAGATATGTAGCTGGTTTGGTCCTTGTACTTGCCAGTTCAGTTTCTAAATGTTTTAAATGTTACATAATCCTTTTTCATTAATGTCTTTTTGTACTTCCATTTTTATGTCATTGATACCCTTTTTTACTTCCATATTTATGTCATTGTGACCCTTTTTTTACTTTATAAATTTTGTTGTATTATTGGTTTTCATTTCCTGTGTTTTCCATCTTTTTCTTTCAAATTGACTTTTCTTCATAATTCTTTTGTACATTTTACTTGTTGTTCTTCCAAATTCTTTCTTAAACTCCTGTCCCTTTCTTCTTGAATATTTTTGATTTTCTGTAACTGTTTCTTGATTTTTCCACCATTGTACTAAATTTTCCATCTCTTCAAGCACAATGTCATAATCTTGAAGTTGTGTTTTGATTTTTATTTCTGTCAAAATGACCCGAGTTCTGTTATGTTGTAATTTAAATATTTGTCTTGTATAATGTTTTATAAAGATGATAGCCCAAAACTTAGCCACAAGAGAAATAAAAAAAACAGTGGTTTCTAAATTTACAATTATAGTATTAAGGTATTAATAGTTTTTCTTATTTATATGAAATTGAATTTTAAATGCATTTTCCTGATGAAGAATAAAAAGAATTTGTGACAATTTGCATGTTTTCAATAGATAATGAAATAGTAATAAAATCAGTCTAACCTTAACTTTCTAATGTGTACTGGTAGCTTGACTATTCCTTTTCTCAAGGTTGCAGATTTTTTATTGCATAAGAAAACAAATCAAGCTTGACAATGGAAGGGTGATGTGTGAACATGTACCACTGAAAATGATGACAATGAGAAAAATCCAAACTGTGTTTAATTAGAACGTGCCTCTTTTTTTTTGTAAAGAAAAAAGGAGGGTTTGCTGAAATCTGTATTATTGGCTATGATTAACAACTAAGCTAAGCTGCTAATTCTGTGTTTATATTCTATACATTTTGTCTGTTTAAAATAAAAACTTGAAATTCATAGGCTTAAAAGAAACTTAATTTACAGGATTAAATTTTATGATCTCCACTTTTCACTGACCTTATTACATTTTAATAACAATCACTTCTCACTCCATTGATGTTCAATATTTTTTTTTATCTCATAATGCTGGACAATGAATATTAGGAAATTCCTGTACCTTCGAGATTTGTTTGGTTTAAACCAACACATGATAATGTGGAATTTTGCATCTCAACAGTGTTTAACTTTTAATCCTCAAGCGTTTTCTTTCCTATCAGTTCCTACATAGTTTATGTTTTATTATGTAATTATTCTATTTGTCTTCATTAATTCTAATTTATTACATTTAATCAGAAATTACACAATCTTTATGATTTTAAATTGTGATTTAATATACCTTAAATTATTTTACAAAGATTATAATAGTTTGCAACAATTTAAACTCTTATAATTTTATAACGGCCTATAAAAGTCTTTTTACAAGAAATAGATAATTTTAATATCGTTATCCATAACCTTTTCAAACAAAACATAGTCGTGTCACAATTAAACAGAATTTTTAACCTCTGCTTGAATTATTCTATTTTACACAAAGAAGTTACACTTCTGCACAAACATATGTTAGACAATGGATATCTTGACTGACATTCTAACAAGCATTACTTACAAGTTTCAAATTCCAGCCACCAGCACACAATCCACAAATTTTCCTTCATCATCTGCCTTCCATTTTTGGGCTCACAGACCTTACATATTAAAAAGAAGACATCTCTCCTTCATAGTAAAAACTTCTGCCCTGAAATTCAGCTCACACCATATATATGTATGTGTGTGTTTGTGTATGTGTGTGTGTGTGTGTGTATATATATATATATATATATATATATACTAC